TCACTCCACATAATGTGGTGGTGATGGTCCCATCTGAAATGGGAGATCATTTTCAAATGCCGTCTTTTTCTTTTTTCCCTCCACTAATTGTCTTGTCTTCCAGCTGTGTGACTTCCTGGAGAGGCACTACTTGGATGAGCAAGTGAAGATGATCAAGAAGCTGGGAGATCACATCACCAACCTGAAGAGACTGGGAGCCCCTGGGAATGGCATGGGAGAGTATCTGTTTGACAGGCTCACCCTGAGCTGAATGGGATTTAATAACTGCATTTGTTGTACATGGTGATGTTGGTCTAGTGAATGACTTTGACTTTGTTTGTGCTCTGCACAAAATTAAAATTGTGTTCACTGTGGAACTGATTACTTTGTGTAATTTCATAACTTCATTTGGTCCTTGAAGGTTTTGGCTGCTTAATATCTAACTTATTAAATCTTAGAGGTTTTTTTTTTGTTTTTCTCTCAACCTTAAATGCTTGCTGCAGTAACTTACACAATTTTGAGCCCACTGTGCAGATTGGGATTTTGAAAGCAGCATAACTGCTTTTTAGGGTGTCGTTGTTTATTTTTTTTTTTTTTTTTTTTTTGTTGTAAGCAATACTCATCGGTCTTGTGCTCACCCCAAACAATTCTGTTGGAATAGTCAATACCTTGACAGAAATCTGTCCACTTAGCTAAGTGTTAGCATTGTCCCTACCAATGCTTTTCTCGAAGCTGAGAACTGCAGATCCTACAAATCAGGAGCAAAAACTTTTTTGGGAAAACATCAAGTCTGGCATCATCTGGAGGAAAAACTAATTCTGAAGGGTTAATGGACCTGAAATAGCAAATTCTAACAAATGCTGTCAGGCTTGTGGTTTCTCCAGCCACTTGTTTTAATGCTTAGAACCTACTGGTTAGTAGATCAGTTTAAATTTGCCCATTTGCAAGAATGGAAAATTGCATCTTTCATGCAACGTCCACCTTGTTTTTTGGATTGACTTAGTTTTGAATGGCAATGTTTATCCACAATTCCCGAGTTGGTTTCTCTAGTAGCACCTTTCCATGCTGGAAAATGAAAATTTGCTTTGTATATCAGTCTCTAATCTACAATCCTAATTACCCACGTGCAAGGTGGGCACTGCTGCATGGACTTGTGTAACATGTATGACAAAGGGGGCATAATTCCTGTTACTGCTGTAGCAATATAGAGCTGTTTGAATGCTGAGGACAGCTGGTGTAATTCTAGAATTCAAGAGCCATTTGCAGAAATGAGGACTGGCTATCAGCAATTCAATTTTCTTGATTTTTTTTTAATGTAAAGAAAATGAGCTGTCCTAACTTAACCTGGCCTATGTGTGACTCCATTGTGAGTACAATAGTGGCTGGCTATTCACTATCAACTAGCCACTTGGTTGAGGGCAACGTAAGGAGTGATAAAAGCTGACCTTGCTAGTGATGCTCTCTTCCAACAAAAGTTAAGGGGGTAAAAAGTAAACTTGTATCTCATGCAGTTCAAGCCCAAAGTGATATGTCCCATATCATTTAAGAGGCAAACAATACAGCCCATGTGAAACATTACTTTTCCCCTTTTTAATGATTTTAAGAATACAAATTAAACATCGTCACTTTACACCTCTTATCTATAAAGTGCTAGGTCAAAAGAATTTTTTTTTTTCAGATCTTCCATTGTGCAAAATTGGGTTGCAGACTTTGATCAAGATCTGAATCTTGGTATTGGACCTAGTGCCCCAAGGAATGGGGCTGATATGGATTTTATTGTATTCCACACCATCCCAGAGGGGGCATTTCCATCTGTGCTAAACCTCTGTGGACAAGAGACATTATCACTATAATTTGAGGATAGTCAAAGCTGTCATCTTGAATGTTTTGTATTGACTAGGATTCTCATGTGATCATTTGAGAGGGAAATGGGAATACTGAATGTATTCCATGTAGGGTGGGGACAGTGTGGAGAGGTGTTAGACTGGATTGGGATAGTGGAGAGTACTCACAGCAAGGCCATGCAAGAATCTTGACAGCCACCAGCTCAAGGCAGCTCATGTGAGTGGTACAACATCAATAAACAGTCACTGCTTCCATACTTCCACGCTTCCACCACTGACACTCCGGGACTGCAATGTGTACGATCTAACAAATGCTGTAGAAAGTCACCCAAGGCTCCAGAGACAGCACCTTCCAAACACATGACTGTTTCCATCTACAAGGACAACAGCTCCATGGGAGCACCATCATTTCAATCTTCCCCCTCCAAACCACTTACCAGCCTGACTTAGAAATATATTGCTGTTCCTTCACTGTGGCTGGGTCAACAACTTGGAATTCCTTCACTAATTGGAGTGTGGTTCTAGGTTCTACCTACATCAAATAAAAGCAATTTAAGAAGGTAAATCGTCACCACCTTCTTGAGCAATTAAGGATGGGTAATAAATGCAAGCCCGGCTAATAATACCCCATCCTGTGAGTGAATAAAAAAGTAAAATGTGACTACTGTCCCCAACAAGAGACAATGGGACCTTAAGTTTTTTTTTTGTTAGATTTATAAATGTTATAGATGAAGGAATGGAGGACTGTCAATCAAATGATGACACTATATCAGGTAGCACATTATCATGAAAGTAGAATTCTGCAAACTTTAATGGAGTAGATAAAACTGGTAGATACAGTTCAATGAGGGGAATTGTAAATGTATTCACTTCTCACCAAGACAGACAAGTCAGTATTTTATAAACGGGGACATCGGTTGGGTTGTCAAAACTAATGATCAAAATGAAGTTAAGACAAGTGGACAGAAAAGTATTAAAACTAGTGAACAGATATAAAAACACTAAACAAAGAAACTAATTCAATGTTATTCCTGATCTCAAAGGGTTTTGAATACCTCTGGATGGAGGTTCTTTGTGAATTTGTCAAGTTGTGGTTCAACCACCTCTGGAGTGCTCAGTTCTGGCAGATTGGACCTGAAGATGGAGCGGCAGAGATTTTCCAGAATGAACTCAGAGATGAAGAGCTGGTTAAACGATGATGACCGTTTGCCCACGTCCCTCAGGATAGAAGATTAAAGGATGAAGGTAATTGAAAATTTTAAGAGGATTATTGGACTTGACAGCGTAGATAGACAGGAATTGTTTCTTCTCAATGAGTCACCAAGGGCTGAGGGTGTGGAATAGAATTACATAGCATGCAAAACAATACTTTTCACTGTAGCTCCATACATGTGACAACAATCTATCAAATTGTCCAAGGTAATGTTAGAAACTGCTTCCTCAAGGAAAGGATAGTGAATGAACACACATGCAGATGCACACATGCACGCGCACACACACAAACAGAGGATCAATTGAAGATTTGAAAACTAAGACTTTTAGATTTTTATTGGGTAAGGTTTGATGTTGGTAATCATTTCCTAATTTCAATACAGAGAAGTGTGAGGAAATGCATTTTGGGAGAAGAAGTACAGACGAGCAATATAGGCTCAATGGTACAGCTTAGAGGGGAGTACAGAAGCAGAGAAAGCTCAGGGTTCAAGTACATAATTCTCTGAAAGTGGTCAGGCAAGATGAAACTTTTATTAAGAAGACTTATAGGATCCTTGTGTTTTTAAAGACAGGCATACAGAACAAAAGCAAAGAATTGTTGCTAAACCTTTACAAATCATTGGTCAGACCACATTTGGTGTTTTGTGTTCCGTTCTGGCCACCACACTTAAGGAAGGATGTTAAAGGATGAGAGTTCAGATGAGGTTTACGAGAATGAAGCCAGGAATGAGGGATGTTAGATACAAAGATATATTAAAGAAATCGGGCCTTTTCCTCCCTGGAGCAGAGAAGATTAAAAAGTGACCTTATTGAAGTGTTCAAACTCATAAACAATTTTGTCAGGATAAAGGAGGATATTCTGTTTTCAGCAGTTAGTACATCAGTGACTAGGGGTCATAATTTGTTAGCAATTAGAGGTCAGAGTGAGATGAAGAGAAACCTCTTTATTCAGAGAGTTGTTAAGATTTGGAATGTGCTGCCTAGGAGAGTGGTGGTGGTGGATTCCATGGGAAGTTTCAAAAAAAGAGCTGGATATGTATTTGAAAGGAAAACCAAAAGAACTGTGGATGCTGTAAATCAGGAACAAAAATAAAGTTGCTGGAAAAGTTCTGCAGGCCTGGCAGCACAGATGCTGCCAGACCTGCTGAGCTTTTCCAGCAACTTTGTTTTTGTACATATTTGAAAGGGATGACTTTAGAAGGCGATGGAGATAGGGCTGGAGAGTGAGACTAGTTGTGTAGCTCTTTCAGAAGCCAGTACAGACACAATGGGCTGAATGGCCTCCTTCTGTAAGATCCTATGATTGTCCACCTCAGAAATTCTGTGAGTTTAGGGAGGAGGTTTCAACTCCTCGAGGTCGACTGGGGAGCTCCCTACTGCTGCTCTGGGTAACGACATTTCTTTCATCTCAGTCCTCAATGGCCTACTCCATATCTTTACACTGTGACCCCTGGTTCTGGACTCTCCCATCATGGGGAGCATCCTTCTTGTTTCTGTCCCATCTGGTGCCGTTACAATTTTCTATGTCCTAGGGCCAATCTCCCACCTTTCACTCCCATATCCCAGCACAACAGGCAGAAAAACTGACCCCCTACCCCCCCTCTTCATTGAGACCCTCCTGCAGTTGGTCACAACAAACTTATTTTAAAAAGGAAACTTTTCTCAATTCAGATCAATTTCTTTTACAAGGAACCAAACAAACCAGAACCTGATTGAGTGGTCCAGCAGGTTTGAGATGCTGAATGGCCTCCTGCTGTTCCAATCACAGAATAACCATCCAGACCTGACTATAATCTACACCTCTGATCAGCTCTGCTTAACACACCCACCCCCTCTCTCTAATTGGTGCCTGTATGCATGGGTGGTTCCTGATTGGCTGTCAGCAATTATCAGTCATCATTGGTGCTGCCTCTCCCTGGGTGAGTGCAGGATGTCTCAGGATTATAAATACAAGAGCTTGTGGGTGAGAGGCTCAGTTCTAGAGTTGTCTAGGTGTTTGTGAGTAGGAATAGTGAAGATGGCCTCCCAAGTGTGTCAGAACTATCACAAGGACTGTGAGGATGCTGTTAACAAGCAGATCAACCTGGAGCTTTATTCCTCCTATGTTTACCTCTCCATGGTGAGCCTTGTGGTATTGGTGGTCCTAATTAAAGTTCAGAATGTGATTATAATTGTATTGGCCCTTTAAGTGTTTTATTGGCCAAATAGTTAGCTCACTTGAGTGTTAAGTCTGTTTGTCTTTCTTTGACTGAACCCCATGAACACTTAATGTGGAAACTCTGTTCCAATATTTAGAATATATGTTGGGTTTCTGCTGGCTGAATGTTCCCAGTTTGTTGTAACTCAGCACAGCATACCCACTGGTGACTACTCTCCTGGCTGTGGAAGGCTGATCTGGCTTTCCTTCACTTTTTTTTTAGTCATAAAGCTTTTTTATTTTGGCCACAGATGCCTTCCATTTATAGATGCTCACACTCCAATCCAAATGTGTTGGGTTTTTTAAACATGCCTAATTAACCAGGCTGTTGTTGAAGACTGAGTAAGCTTATTAGCTACTCAATATGATGGTAGCTAAGTGTGGTATACTTTTTTTGTACTTGAAATGTGAATGTTCTAAATATCCAGTTAGAGTTGTGTGGAGTAGATGGTAGGACATGGATTATTCAGGTGAGTGATGTTGGTAATGTGGTAGCTGACTGATTACTGTATTAATCAACACTCCTTTCCAACTGAGACACAGGGCAATGACCTGACTGGCTTCTAGCACTGAGCAATAGTGCTTTTAATGAGCCCTGCAGGTTAAAGTCTATTGGCTGTGACCTTCATAGTCCAGCATACTACACTTATGCACTCTGTAACCAAGGTTGCAGTTGTGCTTTTGACCTGTTTCTGCAAGAGTAATACCTGTTGGTTTTTTTAAGTGAGATCAAGTGTCAATGGGTTAGTTCCTGGTTTACTTTGTGGGTGAAAGTGAAACTTGCCTCCCTCTGTCTACTTGCAGGTCTCTTTCTTTGACCGGGATGATGTTGCCCTGCGTCACTTTGCTGAGTTCTTCAAGGAGCAGTCCCATGAGGAACGGGAACATGCTGAGAAGCTGATGGCATTCCAGAATAAACGTGGAGGCCGAGTCCTCCTGCAGGACATCAAGGTTTGGGTTTTAATTCTGCTTTTATTCTACTAGATTAGAAATAACTCCATTCTGTATGGATTTGAGGTAATTTAACTCTGGCTTATGGTAATTCCATACTGATGCCCTGTTAGCCCCTCGTTCTCTTGCGTCTTTACTGGATTGAACGCTCACTGTAAGAGTGACCACCTCTTCTGTTCCACCATCAGAAGCCAGAGCAGGATGAGTGGGGCAATGGTCTGGAGGCAATGCAGAGAGCTCTGCAGATGGAGAAGGATGTGAACCAGAGTCTGCTGGATCTGCACAAACTCGCCTCTGGCAACATGGACCCTCATGTGAGTTTCTCGTGCTCTTGGCTGGCATGATGAAAGCTTCTGATTATTGCTAGAAGGTGACTGTCCTTTTTATAGCTCTACTTCTGAATGAAGCTAAATGACCTTAATTCAAATGTGTAATTGAACAGCTGTCAGAGTTCAAAAGCAGACATTGCTGAAAGCAGTGTCTGGCAGCATCTAAAAGCAGAAAGCAGTTAATGTTTTGGGTCCAGCGACCCTTCTAAGGAAGGGTCACTGGATCAGAAACATGAACCAATCCCTCTCCACAGATGCTGCCAGACCTGCTGAGCTTTTCAAACCTTGTTTTTCCTCTAGAGAATCTGCAGTTCTTTCAGTTTTAACTCTAAACTTGTACAGTTTAGCAGATTTCAGCCACTGTTCCTGCTGTTGTAGAGCAGTAACTTTATTCAGTACCATGTTGCAAGTGACTCCCTGGATAAGACTCCCTATTAGCAGGCAAGAGCACTCTTTTAAACTAAGAGACAAGTTGATACAACCTTGTTTCCAAAGGTCTGCTTATTTTTCTCCTTCACAGCTGTGTGACTTCCTGGAGAGGCACTACTTGGATGAGCAAGTGAAGATGATCAAGAAGCTGGGAGATCACATCACCAACCTGAAGAGACTGGGAGCCCCTGACAATGGCACGGGAGAGTACCTGTTTGACAGGCTCACCCTGGGGGAAGAGTGACTGAACTGACTGCAGGGAGCAAGACCATATCTGGGATGGGGGAGAAAAAAACACCTCTTTGAGACATGAGCAAGCTTGTGACTTCACAAGCTTTTTTGTTTGGGGATCATGATGTGTTTATCTTCAGATTTGGAAGAAAACACTTCAGGTGCTGATGTCTCTGAAGAATACTTTAATTGTATCAGGTAAAAATAAAAGTGCTTGAACATGAAATGGCTTGCTATATATCAAGCAACACAAACCAATAACTAACCGGTTTTGCCTCCACTTAAAACATTCTCACTTGAGTGAGCTTTGCTTCATTGTTCATATTCTATATTCTAACCCCTTCATGTGTGAAACGGTTTGCCAAAGTTCTAAAGCCTCTTGAGCCTTCACTTCCACTGTTAGACCCAAAAGGTAGGTCAGGCCACTTGTCTGTCTGCCACGTTTTCCATTCAATCTTCCACATTGACAGGATGTTAACTAGTTTCAAGTTTAATTACCACTTTCCCAATTAGCCAAAAGGCTGAGTCAACCCTCGTGGGTCTGGAGTCACATGTAGGCCAGACCAGGTAAGTTGATAGTTTACACTTCTTTTTTTTAAGAGGAAAAAAACCATCTGGTTGGCTTAATGACAACTAAGCAGTTGCATAGTTGCCATTAACATTGCATTTTATTGTTTTTGGTAAACATTACCTTCTGCCTTGATGGGAATTCTTGTCCCAAGAATATTAGTCTTGAGCTCCAGATTGACTTAGCCACTACCACTCCATCATCCCTGCCCTAAATTTAATGGGGTTGATGCTTAAATTCTTGCCTATTAAGACTGTTCTGCCCTTTACAATTCTCACCATGGGTTTTCCTTTCCTGCTTCTGTTAGCTAAACTAAGGCCATCTTTCAATTCTATTGGCATTTGCTATTAAATTACACTAACATTTTTGTGGCAATGACTCTCCTGGGAGAAGATTCCCCCTGCCAATTTCCTGTTGCAGACAGGATAACACTAATCATTAAGCTCTTAGGTGCTGAGATGAAGTGGCTCCCATTTAACTAACTGCTCCATTTTCCCCCACCCCTTAGTATCTTTAAATATTTCCTGTGGATACATTTAAGAGCATTCTTAACCAGGCTCAAATTTGCATTAAAACATGAAGTAATATTGAAACCAATATAAACTCAGTTTTAATTGAACCATCTCATTAGGTCACATTGATTTCAGTAAATGAACTTTTGTTCTCAAATTGCCAGCATGAACTTTTTCTCTCTACCTGCAGTGCAAGTGTTCAATAGCTATTACCCCTGGTCCTAACAGACTAGGGGTTGCAATCACCACCTTCTTTTGGTCTTTTCAGCTTGGCCTTCTCCAGAAGGATCCTGTACTCAAACAGGAGATCACCTGCTGCTGAGGTGCAAGGAATGATGTAACACGAGAAAGCTGAGGTTAGTCAGCCTCCAACCTTTCTCAGCCCTAAGTTGTTTTTTTTTTTTTATTTTTCCCTGACTTGGTTAAAGTCAAATTCCACATGGAATTTGTTTCTGGTGTGTAGATGTTGGTTTTTGACTAGGGTGGACGAAGTCCCAACACCAGATAATGGAGCAGCACTCAGCTTGTGATTTCAAATAAACTTGTTGGTCTATAACCTGATGCCATGTGACTCCTGACTTTACTTCAGTATCTCTTTGCTTTTTTTCCTATTTTAAAAGTTGGAATAAAGTTTGTTCATCAGAACTTCAGGATCCTGGTCTGATGCCATGATGGTATTCAAAGCTCACCAGAAAAGTGTTCAATTTTTTAACATCCTGCTTAAAATTTAATGCATTTTGATTTGAATAACTAACTAGTTGTTCGGCTCAGATTCCAATGAGTAATATCCTGTTGCGCGTGTGCGCGCCCCCCAACACACCAGCTTCAGGCTGGCCAGCTTTGGATATGCTTCATTTATCAAAGGTTTTATAGCTGCTGCCTCTTTTTTAAGTGACTACTTTTGATGGTTATTTGGTTTGAGTGGATGTAGTTGCTGGGCATGAAAAGACTTGACTGGAGAAAATCAAACACTTCAGGAAAATCTCTAGCGGAGTTTTGATTCATTTTGGCACTTAAACATAAAATAATATCTGGAGGACAACTGACATTTGATTTAGCCTGTTAAGGCTTTACCCAGAAAGACAAGTGTCTATTCATCCCTCCTTTTGTAAGAAAAACTTGGATCTGGCAGCACTCAAGGGGATTGGACAGTTTACTTCTTATTTAATCCTACTATTTACTTAATCCTTTCGGCGAAGTCAGTCCCTCACCATAGAAACAGACCCTCTAGTCCATGCTAAACAGAATCCCCAACTAAACTAGTCCCACCTGCCTGTTCCTGGCCCACATCCCTCTCCCAAACTTCCTTTATTCACGAAATTATCTAAATGTCTTGTCAATATTGTAACTGTACCTGTATCCCCCACTTCCTCTGGAAGGTATTACACAAATCACCCTTGGTAATAAAAATTACCCCTCAGTCTTTAAAGTCTTTCTCCTAGCACCTTAATGTGCCCCCCCTAGTCTTGATTCTTTCCCATCCTGGGGGAGTAAAACTACCTTTTAACTCTAACTATATTTTTTCATGCAGTGGCCTTCATGTGTCCTCTTAATCATGGTGTTCCTTGACTGTATGACCCAATAAAAACCACAAGAACTGCGGATGCTGTAAATCAGGAACAGAAACAAAGTTGCTAGAAAAGCTCAGCAGGTCTGGCAGCATCTGTGAAGGAGAAAACAGTTAACGTTTCGGGTCCAGTGACCCTTCCTCAACTCAGTTCTGAGGAAGGGGTACCGGACCCGAAACGTTAACTGTTTTCTCCTTCACAGAGGCTGCCCGACCTGCTGAGCTTTTCCAGCAACTTTGTTTCTGTTCCTGTATGACCTGAAGTTGTGATTGGAAGGAGGTCAGCTAGGTGGACCTCCAGTGAGCTCCTTGGTTAGACCAGGTTAACAGCCCTAATCTGTCAGCCAGGGCTCCTGATATAAACAAGTGTCAGGGGCTCTTTACACTAAGAGCTGGATTAGTCACAGGCTCTCCATGTAACTAAGGGTGACTGTTAACAGGATAGTGGCCCCTGCAGTTACTTCGCTCATCTTTCTCATGCAGATGACAGCATCATCCAAGCTGAGTTTGTTGGGATATGAGCAATATCCTTGTTTACAATGATGGGGTGATCGTTCCTGGAAAGGAAGCGAAGCAGAATGCCTAATTCCAGCCTGGATGCTCAGGCTCTGGTGTTGGGAATGAATTGTCTGTATTAGTGTAACCTCCGGTGTAGCTGACATGGTATCATGGTCAAAGAGATTTTGTTAACTTTGTTCACAAGATGTAGGTGTTGTTGACTGGACTGGCTCTTTTTTTCTTGCTAGTGAAAAGGTGGTGAGTTGCTGCCTTGAGAACCACTGGTCCCTGTGTGGGTAGGGATAAGCAACCACGCTTCTATTATGAAGTTCCAGCAACACAAAAGGAACACTGTTTGAAGTCAGTGTGGCTTTCACATTGGTTTCCATGTATCTACCAGTGTCTAGCTGCATTAATGCACAATTGAAGCAGCTTTAGTGGGTAACTCCTGTGTATCTTATACATTGTCTTTCTTGTTGGTGACCAGTAAGTATTTAAAGGTGGATATAGTGCCAACTACTTTGGCCTAGGTGGACTCAATCCTCATGTACTGAGGGAGCTATGCTCATCGAGGGCAAGTGGAAGGCATATCAAACACTGACTTGTACTTTGCAGATGGTGGCGAAGCATTTGAAAGTGAGATACCACTGTAGATTTCCTTGCCTCTGAGTTACTCTTAAATACTGTAGGTATATCAGGATGCGTCAGTTTCTGGTCAATAGTAACAACAGGATGTTGATGGTGGATTTATCAGTAATGCTAATGCTACTGAATTTCAAAGACTGCTAGATTAAAAACAGAGCTTTGGATGCTGAAAATCAGAAAACCAGAAATGGCTGGAAAATCTCCGTAGGTCTAATAGTACCTGTGGAGAGAAATTCGAGCCAATGTTTTGGATCCAGTGACACTTTGGAGCAGGATAATTAAATTCATTTTCTTTAGGGGAAATCTTAGAACCCAGACAGTAAGAAACAGGCTGTTCAACCCTCAGAGCATTGTATCCGGACTCCCTCTCGTACCCTAGCCCTGCATTTCCTGTGGCTAATCTACCTCGCCTGCACATGTCTAGACACTATGGGCAATTTAGCATAGCTAATCCACTTATCCTGCATAACTTTTGGACTGTGGGAGGAAACTGGAGCACTAACATGAGGAGAACATGCAAACGCCACACAGATGTGAGGTAGCAATATTAACCACTATGCCACCCCTAACATGTTCTTTGCTCACACTTTATCAGCCTAGGATGAGATGTTGTCCAGGTCTTGCTGCATCTGGATATAGATAGCTTCAGTTTCTAAGGAGTCCTAATAATGCTGAACATAGCAACCATCAACAGTCGTCCTTACTCTGTGGAGGCACAAAAAAATCTACACACTCTGGTTTCTGTTCAAGAATTGGCCAGAACAAGTTCCCAGCTACCTTGACATCAGGCATTCTGCTCTACTGAGCAATCACTTTCAAATTAGTTCACGCTTGGAATTGTTCCTCACATTCACCAATAATCTGAAGCACTTTAGTGTTACACTTAGCCCTTTACACAGGATAGAGCAGCCCTTCAATAATTATGTATGCTGTGGTTTCAAAAAATATATATAAAATGGTTGCACCCTGAAACATCTGACCTATGTAAACTCCATTCACAAAGCTACTTTACCACAAGTGGAGGGTGATTGATTGATTTGAGAAGTGGATGGAATCTACATACACCTCCAGGCAGCAGAGAGTTTCAACCAAGAGGTTGAGAAAAGAGTTCAGGTTCCATGTGAGATAACAAGGTGTAGAGCTGGATGAACACAGCAGGCCAAGCAGCATCAGAGGAGCAGGAAAGCTGACGTTTCGGGCCT